TAGATATCTTGTGCTGTTAGAAAGATATACCGATGCAATTTGATATTTGACACAAAGGATTCAAAGTCTACAAGTGGTTATGTTTTTTTCATTGAAAGTGGGGTCGCATCTAGAAAATCCTCTAAGAAAACGTGTATAGCTCAATCTATGATAAAATCAGAGTTTATTACTTTAGATAAAAACTAGTAAAGAAGCAGAATGGTTTCGTAATTTTCTTGAGAATATTTCGTGTTGGAAAATCCAGAATCTGCTATCAACATACATTGTGATAGTCAGTGGGCCATTGCAAGGACACAAAATAGTATGCATAATGAAAAAATATTGACATATTCATCGAAAACATAGTATCATTAAACAACTAATTTCAAAGGTATAATCTCTATGAATTATGTTAAATCAAAAGAAAACATAGCAGATTATTTGACAAAAAGATTACCAAGAGATTAAGTGCACCATCTTTCACTAGGAATTGCTTAAAGTCTATTGACTAGAATTACCATAACGATAACTCAACCTTGTTGACTTGAGATCCCAAAATCTTGATTTAATAGGACAACTAAATTGTGAATGGTTCAGACAAGCACCCACCCCTTAGATAAAGTGTTATGTTGCAAAGTATACCAAGATAAGGTGTGTTTTTAATGATTCATATATCTTAGAAGAGCCAAGAAACCTATGTAAGTGTGAAGTATGACCACTTCAAACAAGAATTTTGTGGCTTAAATTCTTTAAAAAAACACTTATGAAATCGAAAGTTGTACAGAGCTCAACCATGAGAACTAAAACGGTTTAGAAAAGATATTGTGTGAGTACTGTTATTTTGGTTTATAACAACGACTGAATTGTTCAAGAATCATGTTTAGTAATTAACCAAGTAAATCCGATAGTATTTCATTAAGATGGGCTCAAAGTCAGAAGCTACCTTTCCTGATGCGTGTATTTTCGCTCATCTCTCTACTAATATCAACATTGTCATTTGCATATTTGGTAATTTCCATTAATGTGGGGAATTATTGGAATTGGTTAAATAAAAATTAATAAAAAGCTGATTTTGTATCAACGGTGGCCGATTATTCTGATGGGTTTCAATGGTCAAATCACGAAAGTGAATAGACCAACTTGTTCTACTTATCGAGTAGAAGATTATAGCATATTTGAAATCTCAAAACCAATTCTGCATGAATGAGAATTTATTGTCCAAAGATAGAAGATAAAAATTGAATTTTGCCAATATAACATGTTTCTATTGTGGGCGCTCGAGCAGCATTTTGGGCGGTCAAGGAACAACTTGATGGGCTACGTCCCTTCATGAAACATACTGAATTGGGGGGCATGTCTCTTCTGCCACAACCCTTTATTTTCTATAAATGGGACCTCTTTGGAAGCCAGAACTAATTTCATATCATATCCATTTCTTGCTTTACATAAAAAAACACTCCAAAAATATTGTTTCTTTGCATCAAAATCATCAAATAATAGAGAGAAAATTATGTTTCCAAATTTGTCGATTCTTATGATTTGAAGTGCTACCATCACAAGAAGTTGATCGTTATATCTTGAAAGACGATTGCTAATCCACCATCGACACCAATGTAGGGCAAATTCGTCTTAAGGACATAATTCTACTATTTCCTCGATCATTTTGCATTTCATTCTTCCGGTTGGTTTTTTGTTTAAAAGGTGTGTATTCATTTTTGGGGTTTTGATCCTCATTTCAACTACCGGTAAAGTTGGTAAGGTTTATGATAAGAGTATCTATTTTATTTATTACTATAAAGAATTCACTTCATCAATATTATTTACATCAATGACTTGCTAATTATCACATGGACTGAAGACAAAATTAGAATAATAGAAGTACTTGTGATGATTGTCCATTGTCTTTTCAATTCAAGTACGTTTTAATGTTGACCTATGGAGATATTAATGATAGTTATGGGGAAAAGTCTACATTGCAACATTAGACGATGAATCTTATTCATCTGGAGGGAATGATCATGTGTTGGAATATTCTCCTCAAATCATGTCAAAAGTAAATAGTATCGACTTTTGTCAAGGAAAGCAACCCCTCAAAACAAGTCAAAAGTAAAATAGTGTCAATTTTTGTCGAGGAAAACACATTACACGGCATCAAGTGTAAATGGAAAATTAATCAAGGGTGATTGCCTTATTCTAGACATTCGTGCCTTAGTTTGTTAGAAGAGAAAACGATGTCAAACAACTGTTTAATTTGGCAAGGAAATTTGGCAGAAATCATAGCAAAAACGAGGCGGAAATTTAGGTCAAATTTAAGAAATGTTATCCTTTACATTGACATGGTTTTATATTTGGTACGGTTTGCTTTTATATTTGGTACGGTTAAGATAGGAAAAATTAGGTCTAGCATCCCATGAATATAGAAAATTGTAGTTGTGTTACAACCTATATTATTTTTCTTGCTATACTTGATGCGTTGGGTGGGTGAGTGGGAGATGCTATATGATTGTAACAATATTATGTCATATAATGTATCTATTTTTGACATTCCATGGTTCTTCTCTAAATTTAAAGTTTTTCGTGTAAATTCTTCCGTCGCTATTATATCTGAACAATAGACTAGTGGGCAAATCGTTGAATCAATCTTAGTTCCAACATTGGTATCAGAGTATCATGTCGTTTAGAGTGTTAAAGAGTGTACAAAAGATGCGTCGATCCAAATACAACATGAGAAAATTTGATAGGAGGTTGTGGAAAGTACATGTCGATGATATTCCATCTAGACTACACAAGGATCTGAAAAGAAGACTAACATATGTTTTCATTAAATATAAATATGGACAACCTGGTTATGTCAAGCAAAATTGTCCTAAGAGGTGGAGCAAGTTCGGCTAACTTCTCTAAGTCAAACGTTGATAGTCTCTCTTTGAGACGATATATCTATTGCGACGGATATGTGCATCCTTATGGCATGTTGTTAGTTGCCATGATAGACGAGTGCGTTCTCAATTTTGTACATGAGCATAGATTTGACAATGATGCAAGGTGTGTGGTAGGATTTATGTCGATGAACTCTCCCAAGAGCCAAGCATGGGGTTTGCATCATGGTTTCTCAATATTTTTTAACTAGTTATTCGACATGAACAATGAATTCTTAGAATTTATTAATTCTAAGTGATTATACCTTTTATGGTGGAGTATGTTAATTATATGTATTGAGAATTGTGATTATTATAGTTTACCAAGTTTTTCTAAGATAATGAGATCAAAAGATACAGTAAAGATGACAAAGTATTGATTATTTTCGTTATGGAGGAAATTGTTGAAATATTCTCTTCAAAATATGTCAAATCTGAAAAGCTATAAATTTTGTCAGGCAAGGAAATCAAAGGGCATCACGTGTAAATGGAAAATTAATCAAGGGCGATCAAAATTTCCTTATTATGGTCATTCGTGCCTTCATTTATTGGAAGAAAAATATGCTTAATAATTGTTTACTTTGACAAGGGAATATTGTAGAAATCAATTTTCGTTAGCGAAAACATGAGGCGCAAATTTAGTCTACATTTAAGCAATGTTCTCATGTGAAATGATTAACATACACTTGTAAGATAATGACTTCTTTGAGCAAATCGATTTTGAAATTCGTGTGCTTATTTTTTAGTTTTAATCGGATCGAATTGTTTGTTGGAGTTTAATGAGTTCTAATATAATATTAAGATTTGGAGTTTCATCCTAAAATATTAACTTTATTAAAAGAAGTAGCACAAACCCTTTGACGAGTTTTGTTAATTTGGCCATAACTTTGGCTACGGTTATTGGAATCGCGCTCATGACCCAAATTCGAAAATCTCTTTTCGGCGCGAACATCGTGGCCACGACATACCGGTACTTTGTATTCGTTTGCATCAATGAGTATTGATTGTGCCCATTCGGGGTATTTCTTGAAATCAACTCGCTTCGATGACATATGTTGGTTTCTTGTTACACACTTCAGCCTACATGAGTTAATTCTCAATGCTTGACATGAAGCTAGAGGTTTCCTTGCCATTGGATATGCATTGCATGGATCCTAGTTGAGGAAAGCAAGACAAGCATGCTAGCTAGTCAAGACGGCGAAGGCACGCGACAGCCTACACACGTGGGAGCATGGACGGATTTAGGGGGGACGGGGATGGGGACGGGTACGGGGCTGTAGCCCTGTCCAATCCCCCGGCCCGTTAATTTTTTTAGTGTAATTTTTTTTTTTAATGTTTAAAATTATTTTTTCTACGTATTAGTCCGGCTTGTAATCCTGTCCTGCATCCGTCTTTGCGTGGGAGTTAAAGAGTGTTGAATATGAGCATGATGAACAGCCGAGTGTGATGCCAGTAAGCTTTGTCGGTTCAAATATATAGCTATACATTGTTGAGATTCGAGACCAAGGAAAACTGATTTTTAAGCTAAGGGGAGCTTGAGACGCCGCACTAACAAAATTGTGGATGCTAGCCTCGGTGACACCTTGTCTAACTAGAAAAGCTGAAGCCTTCCCCAAAACTGCATAAAGTAATATTCAGGTCTTCGATCTTAACTTAAATAACGTGTCTGTAACAATACTAATATGCCCAATTATTTTCAAGAATATGTCCAGCCATGCGTCATGTGGATGTGGCCATATCAATTTACTATTAGTAGTAAAAAACCAAAGCGTGTTATGGCTATACCAAAAGCATGCTGCTGCTATAAGGCAACCCCACAAGACTTTTGTACTTTCGCTTGAGTGTACTTGAGTTTGTGCGTCACAGATATATCATCCACAGTCACAACCCCACTCCAGTCAATCTTGCAACTCCTACCCCTTCTTTGCATGAAATCTTATAAAAAGGTAGCAAAACCTATTTACCAAGGAAAAACAGAATATATTCTTGTGTTCCTATCCAACTTCTTTCTCTTCTTATATAAACCGGTTACTGTATAGCCTCACTCCTCAAGCCTGTTTCTAAATTCCTCTTTGATAAGCACACTTTTCCCATTTAATATATCATATGGAGGTGGAATCTAGAAATCAGGAGGAAGTGGGTTTTTTTGTGCTTGGATGTTTGTGGGTTAAGCGCTTTCCAAAGAAGTTCCTTTCTGAAATGGTTGAAATTGCCAAGCAAGCAAAAAAGATTGCAAAAGATGATCCAAGAAAAGTGATCCATTCACTGAAAGTTGGACTAGCACTTAATTTAGTTTCATTGTTCTATTACATTCAGCCTTTGTATAGAAACTTCGGTGACTACGCAACGTGGGCTGTCATTACTGTGGTTGTTGTCTTTGAATTCACCGTTGGTAAGCTGCTTTACTTATTTTGCAGAGTAATATCCCAGTGACACAAATGTTTTGCTATTGAATTGAACTTTAATAGGTTTTCAAGTTACAACTGAACTTTCCAAAATATTTTCCAATTGTAATTGGACATCAAAACTTTTCCTATTTGCTACTGAACTTGTCAAAATGATATCATATCAGTTACTCCGTCAATTGCCATTTAAAAGTTTAGGGACTTGATACTTGATGAACTTACCAAAACATTATTGCATTATTCGTTTCATCTACCCTGTCATCAAGTCCCTTAGCTTTTAAAACGCTGAGTACTGGAGTGATGGATAAAATTACATTTTTCTAAGTTCAATAGCAACTATGAAAACTTTTAAAGTTAAGTGACAACTGAAAAACATTTGAGAAAGTTCAGCAGAAACTTGAAAAACTGTTAAATTTCAATTGCGATTGGGAAATATTTGAAAAAGTTTAGTAGAATTAGAATATTTAACGCTATTTTGCATGTATGTACGACTGGACAGACCTATATTGTACACAAAGAAAAGAACTTTGCTCCTCTGCCAGGGATTGGGGACAGGAATGGTGACCGACCCCTCACTGTGCAGGGGACCCGCTTGTATAAAATATTTTCAAAATGTGTGGACCCTCCCTCCTATGTGAGTAGTCGGTTGCCGAGGCCTGTCACCAAGGCCTGTTTGTGTAGCGGGGTTCCAAAGAAAATCCATCTTTATCTTGATCACGTGGAGTCTTGTCGTGTCCATTGTACCCATGGAGTTCTTTGTAATAAATATTACAGCTTCAGTCCTCCGTACATTCGTACTTGGTTCTGTGATGAGCAAGTTGTTCTGCTATGTTAAAACACATGCGTGCATTCTTTTTTTTTTTTCCCCTCCAGGTGCGACACTTGGAAAAGGGATAAATAGGGGGTTGGCAACCCTGGCAGCTGGTGCTCTAGGCCTTGGAGCTTATCACTTAACTACCATTACTGGAAAACCCGGTGAACCGATATTAATTGGAATATTTGTCTTCCTACAAGGTATATATGCTACAAAGTGCATATAGTACAATCTGGATGCAACATCTATAATAGACAAGATTTTAACTTCATTTAATTTCTTGTGTAGTAGTTGTCTTAATACGTCAAACTAGTATAAGAAGCCAATACTGTTAGTCAAGCTCATTCTATCAAATTTATCTTGCATCAGACCCTAACTTTATGTGTATGTGTTCGAAGCTGCGGCATCAACATTCATACGATTCTTTCCCAGAGTGAAGGCTAGATATGATTATGGGATGCTAATCTTCATCTTGACGTTTTGTTTGGTATCCATATCTGGTTTTCGAACCAATGACCTACTTGATTTGGCTCTAAAGAGGCTGTATACCGTACTAATAGGTGCATCAACTTCTGTGATTGTTTCCATTTTTGTTTGCCCTGTATGGGCTGGTGGAGATCTTCACAAGCTTGTAGCTCTAAACTTAGAGAGGCTTGGAAAATTTTTAGAAGGTATGATTTCTTTTTCATCATCTTGCAGTGTCTTCTAGCCAAGCACTGTACTTGTTCTTTTTTTTTTTGCTGGAATAGGTTTAGTCCATCTACGCATTTAGTACATGTGTCAGGCAGACTCACTGTTAAGCTCGTCTTGGATGGACAGACTTAGAATTTCCGATTTGAATTTTTCTTGTGAACTATCAACTACATATATATTCTATAGTTCTTGAGGTTATTTTGGGTCCAGGTTTTGCAGATGAGATTTTGAATTCGACAGAAGCTAAACAATCTGAAAATGATGTACAATTTCGGGGTGGCATGAATGGCATTCTGGATTCGAAAAACAGAGAAGAAATCTTGGTAGGTAAAACATTTGTATGGTACATATTTTCATGGGAACACAGTTAATAGTCTTCCTGATTTTGAATTTTGTTCATTGGCAGGCTAACTTTGCCAGGTGGGAACCAGGGCACGGTCAGTTCATGTATCGCCATCCATGGAAACAATACCTCAAGATAGGGAATTTGACAAGGCAGTGTGCCCGCAGGGTTGAAGCCCTCAATTGCTACCTAAATCCTAAAACTCTGGTATATCTACATACCGGTATAACGGTTCATTTTCTTGTGTATAGTAGATCTTTGTATAACACAATTCTTGGGAAGAAATTTTCTCAGGATTCAATCTCCGGTGATAAAATGAAGTTGGTAAATTAATGGCCACAAAACATGGACCGATGCAATTGTTTTAAAGATTGAAAGATGATCATTAACTTTATCCATGACATTCTTGTAATTGTATGATATTATTTCTATAATAGTTTGATTGTGTAATTAGTATAGAATGTTTCCTCAAGAAGACGGGTTTTCAGCCCATTTCGTGTGGTTTAACTGATTTCGTGCTACTTTTGTAGGCATCAAAAGAGATCAATGGAATGATTCAGGAGGCATTTTCAAACATGAGTTCAGAATCTGGAAAAGCATTAAAAGAACTAGCATTGGCAATCAAAACGATGACTATGCCATCCTCTCCTAATCCGCATGTAACGAACTTGCAAATGGCATCTAGAAACCTAAAATCCTTTCTAAAATCAGATTTCTGTGAAGACGTTAATTTTCTGAAAATAATGCCAGTTGCTGCTGTTTCTTCACTACTGATAGAAACAGTTAACTGCGTAGAAAATATTGCTGACGCCGTTAATGAATTAGCTTCTCTTGCAAATTTTAAAGGCAGCAATTCAAATGGAGCTGGCCAAAATTCATCAAAGACACAATGCAGGATTTTTGAACAGCCTCCAGAGGATGAAACTCCACATGTGATTTCAATTAATGAACCAACTTCGGCTAATGAGGAAAGCCAATCTTCTGTTCACACTAGTGGTCAGAAATTGACGCTGTAAATATATATAGGTCATAAAATATTTAAAAAAACAATAAATTCGCATACGTGTGAATTTCAATTCATGGAAAAAGTTTTGTTCAACTCCTGGTGAAAAGTTGATAGAAAAATAGAGCTGTTCTTCGTTGTTTCCAAATTCATGGCAATTCAAACTTACTGTTGAACTAATTTTGACAAAAAATATCCTGTTTGATTTACTTATACCGATTACCAATAATTTATTGGAAAAATGTTGGTGGAAGTATTATTGTTAGGCCAGGAACACACAATATTAGACCAAGAAATAGAGATACCAAAACTTTCATTGAAATAAAGTGTAGAAAATTAAAGAAACACAATTGATATATTTCGGTCTAAGCCTCGAAGGTTTGGTGATCGCTTCTAACACCTACATCCCCGGTTGAACATCCAAAAGATTGGATTATGCTCGGTTCCACTATAATGCTCAAAATGGCAACAAAAGTCACAAAATGTTCAGCCAAATCATAAAAAACGGTACAGAACACTCATCTCTCTCAAAATACAACAATCGATCTACAAGATCAACAAAGAATTGTTTCAAAACTTCAGATAAAACAACTTAAAAGCACGAAGACTTCCTTACATATATTCACCTAGAATATTACCACAAAGAGGCTAAAATATTACAGATCGCCTTCTCAAATCAAGAATTTGAGAAAGAACTACAGAGAGAACAAAATCAGAGAAAACCCTCAAACGGCGCACTCATAGAGAGAGAGAACATAACGAAACCCTCACTCGAATATGCCAAATGAAAATGGCATTAAAGGAATAGAAACATCCAGAATTCATAACAACAGCCAAGATTCATCCAGTTGAAAGTGTGGTTTTAATAAAGTTGCATTTGTCAAAACCTGTTTTTAACACAAATTATGGAAGCACAATTCGAACCTAGTTCGAATCCTACAATCTCCACCATACTACCAGAATTTAGGTTATAGTATAGTTTTGAGCACAATCTCAAGCAATTTTCATTTGCTCTAAGTACATGTACATGCATCACAAAGAATCAACAGTTTAAAAACTTATTCAAAGTACTTACTTTAGTACCCATATCAGATGGATTGAGTTGAGTTGAAACTTTTCCAATTCTAAGAATCCCTTTAGAAATGATATTTCTTATAAAATGATATTTAACTTTAATATGCTTAGTTCTATCATGAGATATATGATTTTTGCTCAAATGAATAGCACTTTGATTATCAGACGGTAATATAGCATAATTATCAGCAAAACCAAGTTCAAAGATCAACCCATTTAACCAAATTCCCTTTTTTCACAGCATCAGTAGCAGCAATATATTTTGTTTCAGTGGAAGATAAAGCAACAATCCTTTAAATTTGAGATTTCCAAATAACATTTATCTAAACAACAATTTTAAAGCATTCCAATGTTCTTCCCAGGTTACTCATAAACCTACTCAATACGCTAATACCAAATGTAAGATCAGGTATGGTACAAATTATCAAATACATAACAGAATCAATAACATTTGCATAAGGTATTTTAAACATTCTAACATACTTTTCTTCTGAAAACATTCAGAAGAAAGCTTAAAGTGATTAGCAAGAGGCAATATTACAGGTTTACATTCATGCATGTTAAATTTTTTCAAATATTTAATCACATGATCATGCTGAATCAAAAATAACACGTCTTTATCTTTATTTCTCCAAATTTACATGCCTAATATTTTTTTATCAGAACCAAAGTCTTTCATTTCAAATTCAGACTTCAGTTTCAATTTGATATCATCAATTTCAAACTTATCACAGTTAGCAAGTAACATATCATCCACATAGAGAACTAAATAAAGAGAATTTTCACCTTCATCGCCTTTAAAATATAAACAGGTATCAAACTGGTTTCTTTTAAACCAAGTTTTACGACAAATGTATCAAATCTCTTATATTATTGTCTTGGAGTTTACTTTAAACCACATAAATATCTTTTTATCAGACAAAAAAATTTTTCAGGATTTTTAATTTCAAATCCAACATGTTGCTTCATGTAAATTACTTCATCTAAATTACCATACAAGAAATCAGTTCTAACATCCAACTGATCAAGTTCTCATTTAAACTAAGCAACTAAAGCAAACAAACATCTAACATAGTATAAAAGATTTCAGTGTAATCATGATAAAAGATTTCACAACATGATAAAAGATTTAGTGTAATCAGCACGTTCTTTTTGAGTAAAGTATTTTGCAACAAGTCTAGCTTTATATATAATGTTTTTACTATCTCCTTTCCCTTGTTTTACTTTATAAATCCACTTGCAATCAATCAGTTTCTACCCTTTAGGCCTTTTAACAAGTTCCCAGGTCTTGTTTTTCAAAAGTGAAGACGTATCATCTTCCATGGCAGCTTTCCAATTTGTACTTTCCTTACACTTAATGGCATGATCATAGGAGTTTTGCTCATTTTCAAATTGTTCTTGATAAGTGAAAAATGAAACAAATCATCACTGTCAAATCTAGTAGGAGGTCTGATTTGCCTTATTTCTCTATTTCTTGTGAGTTGATACTCATTAGAAGAGAGAGAGATGATAAGTGTAGTTTTTATACTTATTTGTGATGCTAAATCCTAATATTTTATTATCTTTTGAATTAAATTCTACCTAATTTATGTTAAATTGTATTTTGGAGGTAAAACATTATGTTTGATGAAGAATTTAATAAAAGAATGCAAAATAGCGGAAAATTGGAAAAAATTCAAAGTACGTTGGACTTGGAAACAAGGAATTAATTGGACCTTAATTTGGACTTCTAATTGAATACAAAATTTGGCGATTTGAAATTGTTGGGATTGTGCCCCAAA